GGCTCGGGCCAGGCTCGGGTGCTACGTATGTGTTGGGGGAGTGAGCGAGACGGCTTGCGGGCGAGGAGGGACACTCTTGACCTGGGCAGGGGGTTTCGCGACGCGTTGGAGCGTCCAAAACGGCCTCGGCGAGGAAGCCAACATCATTGGTTTTACTAAGGTTTTGGCCCCAGTTTGGCCTCCTGAGGGGGCGACCCTAATCGGGGACCCCTCCTCCTGTGATCGATCTCAGCCAAGATGGCCTAAAGATAGCCCCCAAGGATCCCAAGGGTGCCCCAAGAGGGCCCCAAGAGGTGGCCAGGAAGCCCCAAGAGGCCCCCAGGATGCCCCCAAGAGGCCCCCAAGAGACCCCCAAGAGGCCCCAAGAGACCCCCCAGAGGCACCCAAGATGCTCCAAGAGGCCTCGGCGAGAATGCCAAACCGTTGATTTTACCAAGGTTTTAGCCACATGTTGGCCTCTTGGGGGGGGGAGGCACTGATTCAGATGACTCCAAGAGCGCCTGGGAGAGCCGAAGATGACCTCCAAGATGGCTCAAGATATCCCACGATGTCTCAGCATGGCTCCCACGATGCTTCAAAATGCCCCAAGACCGCTCCAAGACGGCTCCAAGTGGCCAAAGAGCTCCCCCAGGAGGCCCCGGAGAGGCCAACACCTTAGGAAAATCAATGCGTGTGGCTTTCTCGCCTTTTCGCTTCCGATGGCCATCCGAGGCCTCAAGATGGCTCCTAGATGGCCCAAGAGGGCCCCAAGAGAGGCTCAAGAGAGCCCCAAGACGGCTCCAAGAGCGCCTAAGAGCGCTCCAAGAGCGCCCGAAAAGCGCCCCAAGAGGCGATGTTTTGGGCTCCCGAGGGGCAACGCTAACTAATGCTCGCTTCTTTTTTGATCGATGTCCTCCAAGGTGGCCCCAAGAGCGCTCCCAAGGCTCCCAAGAGCGCTTCAAGAGGGCCCCAAGAGGCGCCCAGGAGCCTCGAACAGGCGCCCAAGAGGCCTCCAAGATGCTCCCAAGAGACCCCCAAGAGGCCCCAAGAAGCTCTCCGAGGCACGCAAGACGCTCCAAGAGGCCTCCACTGGGGGACCCTTCCTCTGTGTGCTGCCCACTTCCCTGATCGAGGCAATTCCTTTGGGCATCGTTTCTGGATGGGCTGGTGGGGTTTCGCGAAGCGTCTAGAATTCGTTATAACATCTGAAAAATGGTTTAAGGGATGGAGGACGTGTCCTTTCCAGAACTTGGCTACCACAGTAGCGTCACGCACATTCGCCTTCAAAAGTTTGCAGGCATCTGACGGATAACTCGCGGCTCCATTTCAAAACATGGCCCTCGCCTCAACGCCGCGTACAATCGCCTTCAACATTTGCAGTGGCTTCCCGGGTGGAGGCGGGTCCTCTTTCAGAAGGTGGGTATCCCGTTAGCGTCGCGCGCATTTTTGTTTTTTTAATTGCAGCCGCTTCACGAACGGAGGGTGCGTCTTTTCGTTAACATGTGGCCCTCCACTCGCGCCGCGCGCTCTCGTCTAGACATTGGCAAGAGCTTCACGGATGTAAGGCGGACCCTTGTCAAACTGTGGTCCTCGCTTTCGCGTCGCGCGCGTTCGTTCAAATGATTGGCCGGAGCTTCACGGATGGAGGGCGTTGACTTTGTTTTCAGAATGTGCGCATCGCCTGAGCGTCGCGTGCAAGTGTATTACGGATTACAACAGCATCAAGAACGAAAGCGTGGGTCCTTTTTTCAGAACTTGGCTCTCGTCTTGGCGCTGCGCACATTCGTCTCAGAAGCTTGCGAGCTTCACGGATGGAGGGCAGGCCCTTATCAGAATTATGAGGGCTTCGACGTGGCGCATTGTATTTTGAAAGCATGCGCTTTTTCGTGCGCGCGTGCGCTCTTGCGTGTTTAATACAAAAACAACTTCGCAATTGCCATTTTAGCATCGAAAAATAAACGATGAAAACCCGCTGTTTCGCTCGTATTCTGAAAGCTTCAACGTAAAACCGGGCATTCTGACACGATGCACGTTCCTTGCTGCTCGTATGGGCGCAATCAACCAATAGAGAATTGCCATCCGAACTTCAAACACTGAAAGGTGACAACTGAAAATATCACTCGTATTCTGACGACCTCTGCGTGGAAACATGTATTTTGTTACACTGAGCGCCGCAACCCCACGAATGCAAATCCGAAGGCATCGGGCGCGGCACCAGCGAATCGCTCGCCTCTGGCTGACAATATGACGACTGGAAACCTAAACCACATGTGGGCATATGTTCGAAACACCCGAGACCCGAAACCGTGGTGCGCCACATGTTTGGAGTCCGATCTTCTCTTGGGCTCACGGGAAATATCTGGAACAACCGCCGCGCCTAATCGTTTCAGGAGCTGGCCGGATCAATATGAGCAAAAAAACACCGCGAAATCTGGCGCGCCCCGATGACCACTTCCGAAGGTTAATGTAATCTACCTGCGGCGGCGCCAGCATGTGGTCACGCGTCGGGGGTGGGAGGCAAGGACATCATGCGCGGTGAGGGCCACGACCACATGTCCCAGCCTCGACACGTCCACGCCCGAAGCGCGAACCTGGTGCGTCCCCTGTGTGAAACCACGCCCCGCTACCAACGCCTGCTCTGACCTGGTGCTCCGAAACCGCAGTGGACATTCTTATTGAGGGCCAGCGCTTTCTTGGAATTCCTCACGCCCTCAACGTCCCACCCTGGCTACGTCTGCGACTGGGCGCGCAGCGCTCCCAACAAGAACGACGCTGCACCCTAACGACACTGCACTTTGTTGGCTTCCAGAGCTCCCTCTCTTCCGGGTCTCTGGCTCGTCCTTCGGCCCTCCCGCCCCACCCCCCTCCGTCCCCCCGCTTCTCGCCGATGCCGTCTGTGATGGGCCAATTTTGCACCACCGCTGCCATAGGTAGGACGGAGGAGAAGGTAGGATGGGGAGGTCCTCCTCCTCCTCCTCCTCCTCCTCCTCCTCCTCCTCCTCCTCCTCCTCCACCCTCCTCCTCCTCCTCCTCCTCCTCCTCCTCCTCCTCCTCCTCCTCCTCCTTCTCCACCCTCCTGGGCGATCCCGGGGCTCGGGGAAGGCCCCCGGGGGCCCGAGAGGGCCACGAAAAGCTGGCAGGCCCCGCGCGTTTTGTTGCTTCTCAGGAGGAGGAGGAGGAGGAAGAGGAGGAGGAGGAGGAGGCAGAAAATGATAAGAAGGATGATGATGATGATGAGGAGGAGGAGGAGGAGGAGGAGGAGGAGGAGGAGGAGGAGGAGGAGGGTGGGGAGAGGAGGGAGGGAGTGAGAAGAGGGGATGAGAAACAGAAGAGGGAGAAGGAGGAGTAAGGAAGAACGGAAAGAGTGAGATGATCCGCTGGCGCCAGATCTAAGGATCAGCTGTTCGGTCAGGTATTCCACAGCCGCGGCTATTCTTCGCCGAAAAGACCGTGGGAGCGGCGGAAACGATCCAGCCGTGTAATATAATGGGGAGGTGCAAGAGGAGGGGGAGGAGGAGGAGGAGGAAGAGGAGGAGGAGGAGGAGAAGGAGGAGAAGGAAGTATGTGGAGGAAAAGAGGGAGGAGGGAGCAAGGATAGCAGGAGGCATAACGGGAGGGAAGGAGGGAAGAGGGAGGAGAGAATGAGGAGAGAAGGAAGGAGGAGCAAAAGGCAGGATACCGGAGGGAGGGTTAATTACAATGAGGGAAGGAACAGGGGGCGGAGGAGGGAGGAGTCTGAGAGGGATTACAGAAAATTGGGGCGGAGAGACAAGGGAGGAGGGGTGAGGAAAAGACGCAGGAGGGGAGAGGAAAGCGGGGAGAGAAGGGGGGGGGAAGGAGAGATGAGGGAGGGAGAGAGGAGGAGGAAGCAGGAGAAGGCAGGAGGAGTTAGGAGGGGGAGGAAGTGGGGGGGATAAGGGAAGAGTGACGAGAACGAGGGTGAGGATGAGCAGCAGCAGGATGGGGAATGAGCGCGTGCCACCCCAAAACAAATATATGCAAGACGGCGGGAAGACCTTCACGAGCAAAGAGAGCGTTCTCCTGCAAACTAAGTCCTACGAGCAGCCAGAATCTCCCTGCTCCGCTGCAGCAGCGCCTCCCCCTGCAGCGCGCCCGAGTAGACGTCGGAGCAGGCACCGTCCGCCCCCCGCTTGTGCTTCCAGCTCTGGAAAGACCTGTGGACACAGACTTGGCCCGGTGCCAGGGGGCTGCCCTGGGAGCGGAACTCGCCAATGGCAGAAGAAGCAGCGGCATAACCATACAGAGCAGAAAATCCACCCTCAGAATAATCACCCCGACGCTCGAAGCCGTGTAGCCAACGCGCCCAAAGAAGGAATCGAACAGGGCCGGGCTGTTTAGTCAACGCCCAGGGCCGTTTGACGCGTTTCGCAAAACGTCAATTGTCGGGTCTGAGCGGCTTTTCCTCCCTTGAAATCATGAACTTGCGGCTCTCCGCGCAGATGTCCTGGATCGGCGCTGGACTCCCCTCCCTGGCGTGCCCGCGCGCCGGCGCCGGGGAGTGCCCGGCGCGGGGCCAAGAACATCCGCGCGGAGCTCCGAAAGCTGAGTACGGTTGTGCACGCTTGTCTTCTTCGAGATGGTGGCCACAGGGACGAAGAAGACGCTGGAGTTGCGGGAGCACGCGGAGCGCGCTGGCGGGTCGTCGTCCTCGCACGTCCCGCACGCTCCGCGCCCATCGTCGGGGCACTGCCCGCCGCCCCAGCTCCCATCGAGCGACAGCCGCCTGAGGAGGGCGCACAGTCGCCCCTCGCCGGTGTGCTCCAGAGCAGCCCTCGACGCATTCTGCGTCACGACCTCACGCAGCAGGAGCACCCACAGGTGGGCGCTGGGCCACGAAGAGATCCAGTTGCTCTTGCACCCTTTCCGCAACACCACGGGGGCCCTGGCGACCAGGGGGGCCACAGACTTCCGGCACTCGACGTCCATGTCCATGAACAGGCCGCCGAACAGGAGGAGCAAAACATACCTGATGACGTCGGTCTGTTTCACCCACTCCCTCCTCAGGCCCCTGAAATACTTTGTGAAGTTGCCGCCCCGCAGCTGCAGTAGCCGATCCACGGCGCGGCCCTCCCGCTGAAGGACCTCCGCGACCTCGTCTGCGCCCCAGACCCACTCCTCCCAGCCGGGGTTGCTCTCGCTCGGGGGCGCCGCAGAGGGGGGCCCATGAATAGAAGAAGAAAAAACACCATAAACATAAACTGTTGGCGCTCCGCGCGGAGCGCCAACAGTTTCTGTTTATGCCGTTTTCTCTTCTTCGCATGAAGTTGGGGGGCCAGCTCATCGTGGCCCAGGGCACGTGCACGTGCGCGGACGTGGGGGGGGGGCAGGGGACGTGCCGAAAGAGAGAGGTGGGCCGTGAGACCTGGGAGTCTTCCTGGCCCTGACCGTGATGTGATCAGCACTCCCCTGGTCCTCACCCCCCTTTCTGAGAGGGGAAGTTGGGGGGGGTTACCAGCTCAGGGGGGAAAGTATCGACCTGGCATCGGCGATATACAGCACATTGCCTATAATTAAGAGGCTCCGATGGCGACTCCTCACGATCCTGGGCGGGGTGGGGCCGCCGGATCCCCACCCGTGATCCATAGGCGATTGTGGGGTCCATGCATCTCCCCCCCCCCCAGAGCCGGTCCCCCACCGAACGCTGCCCCTGATCCTCGACGCCCCCGATCTCGTGGAAGGCGGCCCGGATCCTCCGGAAGCTCAGCGCGCACCAGCCGCCCTCCCCGAAGACGACCCGGTGCAGTATCCGCGGCGCGCCGGCGGGGAGCGCCTGGCCCGCGGCCGCCGGCGGCGCCGCCTGTCCGCCCACGCCTGCGGAGGGCGCCGGCGCAGGCGCGGCGGGCGCCACCCCGGCCTGTGGCGTCACCTCGGCGGGCGTCGGCGCCGCAGCGGCCGAGGCGGCAGTGGCGGCGGCAGCGAAGTCGGCGCTCCAGCCGAGCCTCCCGACGCCGAGGCCGAGGCACGAGCAGCCCGCCAGCAGGGCGACGGCCGCGATGCGGTGGTGCGGCAGCCCAGCAGCCCTCCGCAGCGAGGGCAGGGCCATGCACGCCGCGGAGGGCCACGCGCTCGCGCCGCATCAGCGGAAGGGGCCGGAGGAGTCGAGCCCAACATGGCTGGGTGCTGTCAGCCTGGCTGCTGGCAAAGGCGCTGGATCGTCCTTGTCCGCTGCGCGGGACCGCCCCAGGCTCTGCTCCAGGAGGCGCGCATGGGGTGAGGACTCAACGGTGAGCGGGAAGAGGTGGGGGCACGGTGGGAGACAGCACACGTAGTGTCGTGACTTCACCCGCCAGTTGTCGGCCTTGAAGGAGGCAGTTCTTGGATCACGGGAACTCGACGAGGAACGCTCGGACACCTTCAGCTTGTCACTTGCAGTGCCCACCTGCGAAAGCGAGCGTGAAACCAGGGAGGGAACAGGAGGAGGAAGAGGAGGAGGAGGAGGACGACCTCGAAGAGGGCAGGGACGGGGTGAAAAAACAGTGCTTGCCACTCGTCGGCCTTGAAGGGAAAAGTGCTTCATGTTCCTCGTCTGGCCAGCGCTGGAAGATGCAGGCCGATGCGCGACGCACGTTTGACATGAAAAGACAGAATGGGCTTTCAAGGAGGCTGGCTCTGATTCCTTTGACCGCAGCGCACAATTATGCAAGAGAACTTTCATAATGGAAGATGACGGTTAACAAATGACCGGGGGTCGTGTTCACGCGGCGGCGCCCGGGATGACGATTAGAAAAAACCGGCCGCGGGCCGGAAAACACTTATTTTTTAATCGTTCTCCTCCAGTCAGAAAATTGTGCAGAAATACCGGAAAACTATCTTTTTAATCGTTCTCCTCATTTTTTATATTCATCGTCATCCCGCATTATGGCATTGGGCATTTCTTGCCAGGCTGACCCGAGAGGCTGCCCCGTGGGGCGGCAAGCCTCGGGCACCCCAAGTCGCAGGCCCCTTCTTCCCAGGGAAAGACGTGCGCCCCACTGCCGTCGGGAGCACCTGCGCTTTTTTTCGGTTTCGTGCATGGCTTCTTCGCCAAATGATCAGGGATGCTCCTCGATGGTCCTCGCCGAAGGAAAAATGCACACGTCCGAGCGATGCCAAGGACCCAAATGACACTGGCAACCGAGGTGGAGACGATGTTGATGATGATCGCCAAACATCGTTGAACATTTATTACAGAAACAAAAACAATACAGATAACCTCGATCCGCACACTCAAGCCTAGAACCCTCCGCCAGAGTGCCCTGTCCAGGGCATGAGCTGACACCAAATGATCCCCGCCGCGAAGCCAACTGCGCCCCAAATCTCACCACCCCCAGTGAAACGGCGAGTATCCACATCCCACACCGTGGGTCCCAATAGTCAACCGAGATATACTTCCCCCCACGGTGCAACGACTGCCACTAAGACATTGCCAGCCTCCAATTCAGAGAGCCATGAAAATATCCAAAACCTCACCCAGAACACGAGTTGTCACCTCCACTCCTGCACCTCGAACTGCCCCCGAAGAATCTCCAGGCGAAGACCGCCTTATCACGGAGTCCTATGTCATCGTTGTCGCCCCCCTCATTGCCCCCCCTCCGCCTTCCCCGGATCTTCCTGCTCACCCCGCTGCTTCCACTGCAGCTCCTGATGCTTCTGTTCGTCGTCGTCCTCTTCCTTCCTCAACCTCCTCTTCTTCCTACTGCTCATCCTCCTGCTCATCCGCTACATGCTACTCTCATGTACGCAGCTCTCTTTTTTTCGATGCGCATAGCACGATGGGATCCCCTTTGGAGTTCCAGTTCTGCTATGACACGCGTCAGCGTATAGAGAGAACCAACAGCGTACTGAAAGGGATGGGTGGCAGGAGTAGGATATCAGATATGGCGCGAGCACGTTGAACTTGTCCCTCCCCCTGACTCTTCCCCGTCAACGATTTGTTTTCGAACCACCTCCAGCGCCCCTATCAAAACACGTACTGGCTGGCTTCACCAATCTGGGGCCTGCTGGGGCCCTGGGATCCATAGAAACCGTAGTTGGCTAACCACAATGACTCCGTCACGTATGCCCGCACGCCAGTCGCATCACATGAGCATGGAGACAGTGATCAACACCTGGGGCTTGGGGCGCGTCCGCAGACTCACGCGGTCACAGACTCGGCACGCCTGAGCATCCCACGTGGCCAGCAGACCCTGAACTCACGCGCAGCAGCAGACACGGGCAAGAAGCTCCTCACGGCGAACTCCATTAGCAACTCCTGCATTACGAGCACGCAAACCGCACCCCACACGTTCGTGAGAGCGTGCGCAAACCGCGCCCTGTGCACAGGGGCCTCCTCAACGTCGACGTGCTGGCCCACGCTGTCCTCGTCGCCGTCCTCGCCCTCGTCCTCGCTGTCCTCGTCGTCGTCGTCGTCGTCGTTGTCGTCGTCGTCGATCGCGTCGGTGTCGTCGTCTTCGCCTTCGTCATCGTTGTCGTGGTCGTTGTGGTCGTAGTCGTCGCCACCACCATCGCCTCGCCGCCGCCATCGCCATCGATATCGCCGTTGCTGTCGCGCACCGCCGTCGCTGTCACCGCCGTCGCCGCCGTCGCCGACATCGCCGTCGCCGTCGCCATCGCCGCCGCCATCGCCGTCGCCATCGCCGTCGTCGTCGCCGTCACCGCCGTCCGCCGCCGTCGCCGTTGTCGCCGCCATCGCCGCCACCGTCGCTTCTCGCCGTCGCCATCGCCGTCGCCGTCGCAACCGTCGTTGCTGTGGTCGTCGTGGTCGGCGGCAGCAGCGGCGGGGCGGCCTCGGCCGGCCCCCGCTCCGCAGCAGGGGCGGCGGGCTGCTGCGGCGGGGGTTCGTCGGCGGCCAGCGCCACGTCCCCCTCGCGCGCCACCTGCAGTAGGGGAACCAAGCCTGCGAGGTCGGCCGTGACGGGTCAGCTGCTGAGCTCTACGCTCGGGGCCCAGCTGCCCGTCCCCGGGCCCATCAGTGCTGCGACGCCCCGCGCGGATCAAGGTGCAGCGGTTCGCCCAGGCACGACGGGCGCTGCCTGATGCGCTTGTCTTTGATCGGGCCCCACTGGGGGGACACACTGCGATGCCTGCCAACACGCGGTGATCACAAGGATGTGAAGAGCGGCGCGTCTGCATCCCCACACTGGTGGCATTCTGCCCGAGATGAAAGGAAGGTCTCACCAACCTGGGCGCGCGTGATACGTAATTGCACATCCCCTGGTCGGACATCCCCTGGGAGGTCCGAGCATGATGCCTGCTAGCACGCTCTTGTCATGAGCCTGTGTAAAGAAACGCGCTTGCGACCCACAAGGGTGAGTGGGGCCGTCAAGTTGGGCGCGAACGGGCCCGTGATGCAGCCCTTGATCGAACTTCCCCCTCGCATGGCCTGGGTGCATTGCCTGCTAGCAGGCGGTGAATTTGTTCTACCTCAGAGGTCCTACCCATCTGGGCGTGAACGGGATCGTCATACACGCCCTTGTCAACCCACCTGGGAGGCCCAGGCACTATGCCTACGAACACGCGGCGGTCATGCTGCAGCGGATGCGCCGCCACTCCCAGCGCAAGATTCCGATACCGTGGCCATGACGACAGCCACGTCCAGCACGATGCCTCAGCTGATGTGCTCGGACACTGTCAGCGCGGACGTCGGCGTAAAGTAGACGCCCACCGTCCCATCCCCTCCTTCCCCAGTACTGGATGCATTCCACTGGAGGTGAAAAAACATGCTGTGAAGGAGTTGTGGGTACCAGTACCGGGGAGAAAAGGCAGAAGAGAAGGAGGCGCAGGAGGTGAAATATGGCACGCCCAGAAGGGGAAGTGAGAGTCCAGGGGGTGCCCCTCAAAGGGAAACTTGTCCGCCCCCAGGGGCAGGTTCCGTCCCCGCCTGAGGGTAGTGAGAGCAACAGGAACTGCAAGAGCCGAGGGACGCACCAGCGCACCATGAGGACTGGAAGAGCAGTAGAGAGACGCGGCGCCAGAAAGACGGTTAGCGGCAGTGGTGGTGGTGGTGGCCTCGCCCGCCAGCCAGCCCTTCGCCCGGCCTCGGCAAGCGCTCCAAAGCCATCCGCTAACCTCCCTCTCCCACAGGATCCTCTTCTACGCCCGCATCATCCCACTTGCATCCTGACTGCACTAGACACCGGTTCTGCGCGGTGCTGCGCGCAGCGAAAGTGTTGGCACACAGCGTGAATACTTCGAGTCCCGAAAGCTAGATTACGGACAACGAACTACAAGCCCCATCGAGGCCAATCGCCGGCCTCATCTTGGAGACTCCACCCCTCTCAAATGAGACCCCCCCTCGCTCTGACACTTTCTTCACCTCCTTCTGTCTTTCTCGCTCTCTCTCTCTCTCTCTCTCTCCCTCTCTTTCTACATCCCTACCTCCCGCCCTCCCCACCTTCCCCTCCCACATCTCTCTCGCGCCCCTGGCAATCCTCGCACCAGAGGTCGCTCCGGAGAGGATCACTATTACGTGCAGCCGATGCACGATCAACATGCGCCGAAAGGGGTCCGCCGATAGGCAGACCGCATCTTCGTCAAAGTCCAGCAACAGCCCCAGCACAATCAGAATCTGTCATAGCGGCGATGATACGAATTCGAGGCGCCTTGAACACACAAACGGATGGCAAGGACGCCCAAGATCGGGGGCGCGCAAACATGGATTAGCGATCCATGGATTTGGCGCGCGGTCGCCGAATCCATGGATCGGGGGAGGTGCCGTCCCCAAAATGCGGCCCGTGCTGGAGCGGAAATCCGCGATTCCCCGTGGAAACGGGGCCCGTCGCTAATCCACGCCCCCTTGATCCATGTTTGAGATCGCCTGACAAGAAGCCCAAACAAAGAGGTGCAAGGGGCACGGGCGTCCAGCGTCGATCCACACGACGGATCTTGACGAAGGTTCCGCAGGCTATTGGCAGGCTGCCCGCAGCCCCAGCGCAGATAGTCGAGCCCAGGCAAAGGGTGCCCACCCAGTTCTGATGGGCGCATTTCCACCACTACCACCACCACCACCACCACAACCACCACCACCACCGCCACCACCACCACCACCATAGGAAGGACGCGGGAGGAGAGAATGGGGAGGTCCTCCTCCTCCTCCTCCTCCTCCTCCTTCCCCTCTCCCTACCTATGGTAGCGGAGGTGGAAGACCAGCCCATCAAGTCCACCTGCGGATCCAGGAGCGGACCCGAGGTCGCGCGCACCTTTGCCCAGCGGTGTCGCACCTCTCCCCCTCGTCGACGACGGCTGCGCGAGGGGCGGTCCACAGACGCCGAGAGGCTGACTCACAGACGCGGTCCGCGGACTCCGAAGGGCGGTGTGCGGACGCGGCCCTGGACTGGCGAAACTCTGGCGCGGCTTCTGTGGCGGCACTCGCAGCGGCCCAGCGAAGACAGGTCAGCAGTGGCCCAGGTCCTCTCCAGCCACTCGCATTCATCTGCAGACCCGTGCACTGCATCTGTGGTCGAATGCTGGCGAACACCACCTGTGCGCACTACTCTGGAGCGCCACGGGTCTCTGAAGACGGAGGCACAGAGGAGGGAGGAGAGGGAAGGAAATGTGAGGGGATGCTATAATGGAGGAGAAATGGCAGCACGAGAATGAGGAGCACTGCTGGATATACTGATTTGGCAGCTGACGAGGATGCGGAGCGCACGAGTAGGAGTGGCGGCAGGAGCAGACGAACGGGCATTATGCAACGCATGATGGAGAAGAGATAAGGTCGACGCATGTCGGATGGAGGAGAAGGTGAAGACGAGGCGTATTCAATTCGGAGGGAGGAGGCAGGTGGAGGATGCGGATGAGGGTAGTGAAATCCAACCAGCCCTCTGGGCGTAGGTGGTCTAACGAGATTATTTCTTTCCTCTTCCATAAACCCTCTTCCCCTTCGGTAAGGGTATATCACTGTTCCTTTTAATAAACACCCCCTCCCCCAGGCGACTGGTAGCCAACCAGGAACCATGAGGGCCCCCCCACACCATCGCTCGTAAAAAACAATACAAACACACACTCTGCCTCCAACATCGGAGCATGCGCAGGGGGAGCCGATCGGGACCCTCCCTCCTTTGATCGATAGCCTCGAAGATGGCCCCAAGAGGCGCTCCAGAGATCCCACGAGAGCCCCAAGAGGGTCCTAAGAGGGCTCCAAGAGGGTCCCAAGAGGGCCCCAAGAGGCACCCGAGAGGCCCCCAAGAGGCCCTCGAGCGGCCTCAGAGAGCCCAAGATGACCTCCAAGATGGCTCAGATAGCCCAAACTGGCTCAAGATGGCTCCCAAGATGCGCCAAACGGCCCCAATACCGCTTCAAGAGCGCCCAAGAGCGCTCCAAGAGAGCCCCAAGAAGCCGTTTGCCGGCTCCTGAGGGGGGAGCTGAGTTGGGGACCCCCCCATCCTGCAATCGATGGCCTCCAAAATGATCCCAAGAAGCCTTCCAGGGTTACCAAGAGGGTTCCAAGAGGGCCCCCAAAAACTCCCAGAGATCACCAGCAGCAACAGCAGCCGCAGGACTACCTCTAGATGGTTCAATGAGTCCTCGTCCGATTCGTCCTCATCCTAGTCCTGGTCCTCCTCGTCCTCGTCCTCATCCGCGTCCTCGCCCTCCTCGTCCTCATCGTCCTCCTCGTCCTCCTCCTCCTCATTCTCCTCCTCCTCCTCCTCCTCTTCCCCTCGCCCCCACGCGGCCCCCAGGGATGACCCGAAGAGGCCTTCCAAGGCCACCCCTTTGCTCCCAGAGATCTCTCGGTCCACCCTGGTTGCTCGCTTTGTTTCCCTAGATGTGTCTCTTCGTCCCCTTTCCCATCAGCTCGCACGCGCAAGGCTTCTGAATGGGCTGGTGGGGATACGTGAAGCGTGAAGAATTTCAGCAGGGTGGAAGATGGATAGTGGATGGACAAGAAAAAAAGGAGGAGAGGATGAGTAAGAGGAGGAGCAACAGCAGCAAGAGGGCCGGAAGGACGAGAGAAAAGAGAGGAGGATCAGAAAACGGGGAAAGGTGGGAGAGGGCCAGCGATGAGATTGGGGAGGGATGGAAGCGAGGAGAACAATGGGGCGGAGCACCGACGGCGGGGCAGACGTTTGTTAATCGGAGTGAGGCAGACGGGGGACGAACAACATATGGGCGTACGGTGGCGGCTTGCATGCTGTTTTGGGCCCCATTCAGGGCCACCTTCCCTGCAATCCTCGACCCCCCCCTTTATTGTCCCCCCCACCTGTACCAAGCTGAGGGCCAACGATAGGGGATGGCTGGCGCAGGGGGGGGGGGGAACATCGACCTGGGCGACGAAAAGGAACGGGTCTCACGCGAAATGTCGTCTCGACCTTACGCGGCGGCTTGCGCGGGCCGCCACCGCGGCAAGCAAATTTGTAGACGAAGGCACTTACGCGCGACCTTACGCGAGCCGCTTACGCGCCAATGCCGGCGCAGACGACCCCGTTTTTCTGCGTCGCTCACCTGGAATCGGCGATACACCGCTAGCAGAACGGCGATAGGCCCCCGAGAGCGAATTCGCGCGATCCTGGGCGGGCGGGCCTGGCGGTCGGGCACCTCTCGGCGATGGCTGGGCGACTGGGGATCGATGCGGTGCCCTCTGAGCACCCCCCCAACGTTGCCTCCTGGCGTTCGGGCCGTGACTCGCCTCTCCGGCGACCGTCCGGGACGATCTGGGCCCCCGTCAGGGCGCTGTTGGCGAGGCGCAGCTGCTGGAGCGCGCCCCGAGGCTTGGACACCACCGAGAACCCACGAACAGGTCAGCACACCGGGCGCCTCGAGAGCCCGTCCCCCCCCCCCTTCCCCCCAAACGTTGCCCCTGACGGGCGCCCGAGACGGGGGTGCACATGGGCCCCTCTCAGGGAGCCGTGCTACAGGCCAAAACCCCAAGAAGGACGCGCGGCAAGGACGCAAGACCCTTGGAAGCCGAAGTTGGGATTCTTGGGGGCAGCGGACGACGAAAACCCCAGGGACGCAAGAGCAAGGCAGAGCAAGGACGCAAGGGTACCCTGAGCAAAGCCGCGCGCCCTTGCTAGGGTTCTTGACCTGGCCATCGCTCGGACGTCCATTCCCTGTGTTTTTTTCCGACTTCGTGCGTGTTTTTTTCGCCAGATGGTCGAGGAGCTCCTCGATGGCCCTCGCCGAGAAAAAATGAACACGTCCGAGCGATGCCAAGTGACGCTACCGATGCGGAGCCCCGAGCCGGGGGAAGGAACCTGGAGCGCTTTCCTGGCCACGGCGAGCCTCGCCCGCGAACCCGCCCTCCGACCTATAGATCCGAGGAGCGGCCGAGACCGGAGCCCCTCCTGGGCCCGGCGTGGCCCCGTAGCCTTCTCCTCCTCCTCCTCCTCCCTCCTCCTCCTCCTCCCTCCTCCCTCCTCCTCCCTCCTCCTCCTCCTCCTCCTCCTCCTCCTCCTCCTCCTCCTCCTCTCCTCCTCCTCCTCTCCTCTCCTCCTCCTCCTCCTCCTCCTCCTCCTCCTCCTCCTCCCTCTCCTCCCTCCTCCTCCCTCCTCCTCCTCCTCCTCCTCCTCCTCCTCCTCCTCCTCCTCCTCCTCCTCCTCCTCCTCCTCCTCCTCCCTCCTCCCTCCTCCTCCTCCTCCTCCTCCTCCCTCCTCCTCCTCCTCCTCCTCCTCCTCCTCTCCTCCTCCTCCTCCTCCTCCTCCTCCTCCTCCTCCTCCTCCTCCTCCCTCCTCCTCCCAGCCACGGCGAGCTTCGGCCACGGCGAGCCCCGGCCACCAAGGAAGGCCCCGGGCCCGAGGCTCGCCCGAGCCCCGAAAGCCCGAAAGCGTCTGGAGCGTGAAGCCTCCAGCGATGCATCTCAGTTGGACGCCCGAGTTATCCGGGGTAACTCGGGTCCGGGGTAACTCGGGTTTGGGTTCCCGAAAAACGAACCCGAGTTAACCCTGACCCGAGTTACCCCTGATGATTCGGGGCTCTGACTCAGGGAGGCCAGGGGCAGGGCCTCCGACGATCCACATCGAGGGCGCCGGGGGTGGAGCCCCCGACGATACGCGCCGAGGCAGCGGAGAGGAGGGCCTCCAGCGGTCCATGCCGAGGCGGCCAGGAGTATAGCGCCTCCGCGACGCAGGCTGTGGGAGGCTGCTCGAGGCACTGAGCTTGGGGGCGACGACTGCAAAGCCTGGCGCTGGTGAATCGTGATGCGCGCCGGCATGCGTCTGCCGTGTGCAGTATTTCAGCCTGCCTCCCCCTCGGCCCGACTTGGCGGCCGCCACGTCCACCCCGGGGACGCCCCGCGCCCTCGAGAGAAGCTGAGATGGAGCCGACTGCAGGAAGAGGCCATCATTGGGGATGCCGGGATGCGCTGAATCGGGCGTCGGCGGGTCTACAGAGGATTCGGGGACTCCTCGGGCGCTGCGCCCGTCCCCGAACGCCCTGGCTCACCCCGAGGGCGTGCCGGCACGCCCCGGAGCGGCCTCACACCTCCTACCCGCGGCTGCCTGTCGGCACGTCGGCGGGCCAGGGGAGGGAGCTCCATCCTCGCCCTCCCCGCCACGGGCGCTGGGTCGGGCCGAGCCGCGGCCGAAGAAGGGCGGGGCGAGCTGCGGCGCCATTCTTTGGCCTCGAGGCGCGCCGGCGCCCGCCCCCCCCCCGCCAGGGCGCCGGCCGCACGGCTGCGCCTGCTCGGCAGACTCCGCGCGTCACGAGCGCGGGCGCGAGGCCACGCAGCGCTCGCGTGAGGTGGCGGGTGAAGCCGCGCTCCACGTGCCTCCGCGTGAGGCCGCACGCACGTGGTCCCTGGAGCTCTGCGGAGGCCTCCAGAGGCCTCCCGAGGGCGCCTGCGCAAGCCTCCGAAGGCTTTCCCCCCCGAGGGCCAGAGACTTCGAACCATGATCCTCGAGCCTCCTCGATCAGAGGAGCAAACATGCACAAACAGAAACCTTCGACGCTCCGCGCGGACTTCTTGGATCTGCGCCGGACCCCCCTCCCTGGTGCGCGCGGAGCGCGCCAGGGGCGGCGCCCGAGGCGCTGCCCGGGGTGGCCCAGCGCGGGTCCAATGGCGTTTTTTCTGTTTCGATGGCGTTTCGATCGATGGCGTTTTTTGGCGTCTTTCGATCGATCGATCGATGGCGTTTCCATCGATCGATGGCGTTTCGATCGATCGATGGCGTTTCTGTCAAGTGCGTGTCTTATGGCGTCTTTTCTGTTTCGATCGATGCCTCGCACGGCGAGCTGGGGCGGCGCCGAGCACCGGGCACATGGCCCGCCGCATGCGCGCCGCCCACCCCGCGCTCTGCTGGCCCTGGCCCTGGCGCTCCTCCTCCGGCCCGGCCGGCGCCAGCGCGGCAAGGCCTCTGCGGCAGGCCGCGCGCGGGCGCCGGGCGCGGGCGCGCGCACGCGGAGGGGGGTTGGCCTCCTCGTCCTCCTCCTCCTCCTCCTCCTCTCCTCCTCCTCCTCCTCCTCCTCCACGTCCTCCTCCTCCGCCTCCTCCTCCTCCTCCTCTCGTCCCTCGTCCTCCTCCTCTTCCTCCTCCTCCTCCTCGTCCTCCTCCTCCTCCTCCTCCTCCTCCTCCTCTCCTCCTGCTCCTCCTCCTCAACCTCCCCAACCTCCCCAACCTCCTCCTCCTCCTCCTCCTCCTCCTCCTCCTCCTCCTCCTCCTCCTTCGTTCTCCTCCTCCACTTCCTCCTCCTCCTCCTCATCATCATCATCCGACGACGACGACGACGCCAACGACAACGATGGCGGCGGCGACGATGGCCCATAACGGCGGTCATGGCGGCGGCGGCGACGGCGACGCGGGCGGAAACAGCGACGGCGACGTCGATGTCGACGACACCTATTCCTCCCTCCTACCTTCCCCCTTCCCCCTCGAGAAAATCTCAATGCAGCTGCTCTCCATCAGGAAGAAGGTCAACTGATGCAGTTTCCTGTGTACGTGCACAGAAGATACTGAAAGAAGCGCCCTCGAGTCTTCCCCAAACAATTCTTGGACTCAGGCTTCCTTGCCTATACCTCATGGAACAAAGCCCTGGTGTAGGGTCCGCCGTTTTGTTGTCGCCGTCGCTGCCCCGTCGCCGCCTCGTCGCCGCCCGCGTCTGGGCCGTGGTGTTGGGTCAACCGCCTTGTTGTCGCCGTCGCCGTCCCGTCGCCGCTCGTCGCCGCCCGTCGTGCGGGCCCCAGTGTCGGACCCGCCGCCTTGTTGTCGCCGTCGCAGCCCCGTCGCCCCCTCGTCGCCAATCGTCGTTCGGGCCCTGGCGTCGGGTCCGCCGTCAAATTGTCGCCGTCGTTGCCCCTTCGCTGCCTCGTCGCCACATCGATTAAAAAAAACACATGGGGTGCATCACGTAGATTGTGCACCACATAGATTCTCTTTTCTTAACGAGTATTGGAATCCCCCCCTCCCGGACTTAGCGGTACCCCTCTTTTTCGTGCAGCAATTTACATACGATTGCGCCCCATCGTCCATCCTGGAAATGAACTCTCTCCATCCCAGGCAAGCTGGCATCGCCCCCCCATCCTCTGCAACACATGCGCGTACACGTCTATCTCAAGTCACGAGGTTCCCAAAAAACCCTTTGCAACACATGTGTCAAACTCTACACGCGCGCGTCATTCTTCGCAGGGGTGTCAAAATTGAGTGTCCCGAAACATATTCAAAAATCCCACATGCGCTCCCAACAAAATGCTCAAAAACTGCCTGCGCTCGCGCCCTTGCAGATTCTTCAGAAAGCCATTGGTTATTCAACACTTCGTAGTATGTTACCCAACATGCTCTCGCGCGCGCATGCCGAAATCGTTCGAACGCCCTTGCTCGCGCGCTGTCGCAAGAATCCCTTGCAAAAGACAAGACGAAGTGCACGCGCGCGCGTCGTCGCGCGCGCATGCAAAAAAATCCTTCAAAAACCTTGGGGTCCACAATCGAGTACCGAAGATGCGTAAAAAAACACGAGGTTTTGCAACGCCAATGTTCAGAAATGCCTGCGATCGCGCACCTGCGAATGCTCAAGGAGTCTGATTGGCGAAGCGAAACATTTTCTGATGCGGGCGAAGAAATTCTCAGAGGCCCAACGAAAAAAAAAACACATTCCCCCCAACCACGAAATGCCCAGGACCGAACCGAGAAACTGCAAACGAGAGAGGGCGCCGAAAATGTAGGGAAAAAGACGAACAAGTTCCGAAGGCCCGAAACAAACGGACACCTGACACTTCACCCTCTCACTCGTCCACCTCCTCCTCGTCCTCGTCCTGCTCCCCGTCATCGTCCTCCGCCTCCTCGTCCTCCTCCTTGCCCTCCTCATCCTTTTCCTCCTCCTCCTTCTTTTCCTCGTCCTCCTCCGCCTCCGCCTCCTCCTCCGCCTCCCCTCCTCCTCCTCGTACGGCGACCTCCAAGACGTCCAAGATACTCTCAAAGACGACCCTGAAGCGCCTCAAGAGAGCCCCAAGTCGGTTCAGAGAGGCCCCCAAGACGGCGCCCGATGGTGTCAGACGGGTCGGGCACGCCCTAAGACAGTCAAAGAGGCCCACAATAAGCTTCCCCAAACCCCCAAGAAGTCCCCAAGAGGCCCAGGGAGGCTCCCAAGATGCCTCTAAAAGGCTCCCAGGAAGCTCCGCAGAGGCCTCTCAAGAGGCCTCGCAAGACGGTTCCCAAGAAGTCTCCTCCTCCTACTCCTCATCCTCATTCTCCTCCTACTCATCATCCTCTTTCCTCTCCTGGTCCTCCTCCTATTGCTCCCCCACGCGTTCCCCGAAGGCTTTCCAAATCGACTCGGGGAACAACTGGCCCGATAGCTTGGCCAAGATCTAGCCCAGCTGTCGGCCACATAGGCGCTTCCAAAAAGGCAGGTGGCGGCGGTGATTCGCCGTAGGCGTCTGCGATATAACTACAAGCATATATCACCCAGCTCCCAGAAGCCGCAAGAGCGACTCTCCTCCAAGGGGTCGGCGGCGCGGCGTAAGCCAAATAAGAAACTCGTGTGACAACGGCCTTGCCAGTTGTACAAGCGTGTCGTCCAGCCGTCCTGGTCATGCTCACCTGTCGCAAGGTGGTCCTTCTG